CTCCCTCTCTCCCTCTCTCCCTCTCTCCCTCTCTCCCTCTCTCTCTCTCTCTCTCTCTCTCAGTCGATTGCTATAGCTGCACCAAAGCCAAAGCAGGCCACCACCATCATCCAGTCTGCAAGTGCTCTCAGAGCCAAGATGTGAGATACTGAGCTCTTGGCAACCGCTGCATCCTAAGGGTAGATCTGTTCTTTCGGGCTGGTTTGCAGATTGAGGGGTGCGTGATAGACAAGATTAGAGCAATGTGAAAGAAGCCGTGTGTCACTCTTGGTTTCCAAAAGGCGCTGCACTGCTTTGAATGAATTCTGTCTTGCTTATTCTGCATCTTGACGCATTCCAATCTCCAGTTTAGCAGGTGCCTCAAAACTCTGTGGTTTAAAACTGCCTCTTGCTGCTTTGGTAAAATGGCAACAGAGTTAGAAGGCACACTCTCCGAACCAGCAGCCTTCCCAAACAAACAACGGAAAGGAACAGTGTGTTGCAACCATCACTAGGCATCATGCGGTGGCATATAGTTATTTCTACATTTTATAGTAAGTTTCTCAGCTGGCACCTTTCCTTTTGTTTATGATACACTGCAAAGTTCTTTGTGTACTGGTATGCGGAGTGGTACAATATAAAAATAAAAGCAAAAGCAAATATAGGGAAGCCTGTTATATCAACAAAGCTGCACTGAGATGGTTGCACAAAAGTGTGTTTTGCCATTCTGTCTGTGTGAGCAAATGCTGCACTTTTCCCGCCTCTCTTGCCCTTCCTCTGCTTGCCACTTTTCTGCTCTGAGTGAACTGTGTCTGTTGAGTTGTGTACTGCATTTAACAAATGCCAACATCTTGATTTTTTCAAAGCGGGACGAGGGAGAGTGTAGTGGAGGTAGCCAGCCAGCCAGCTTTTCTGTTAATGTGGTGGAACTAACTTTTAGCATGGAATATGCCAAGCCTTAGTGGCACTTGGCTACAGATTTCATCCTGGGAGAGGTGCGGGCATGCTGGGTCATATCCAAGGCCTGCCTAGGAGAGAATTCTGTTGCCAGCAAGACCAGATGCTCTGGGAATGCTCACAGGCAGGGCACGGGAGGTGCTGGCCCAGCGCTTTTCTCACCTACAGCATCAGGCACACCCAGAGAGACACTGCTCCAGATGTAGCAGTTCCAAGGTGGGCAGGTTGAGCTGCCATGGGCGCTGGTAAGGGATAGGACCAACGTACATCTGTGAAGTTGGCTAACCCTACGCTAGTGGCTGGGTAGGAAAACCCTCTGTGTGTGAAGAGAATCCCTCAGTGTAGGACATCTGGTCTGGCTCACATGCACTGCAAAGGCATTGGGGCTGAATTCTTCACGGGGTTTCTTGTTGAACTGCAGCTGCCTATCTGCACATTTGAGCTGGTTGTGTGTGGGTCCAGCAAGGGTGGGATGCTGGCATGGTTTCCAAGCCACCCACCGGCTGTTTTAGAGACATGGGGGCTGGTGAACCATCCCACCAACTGGGCCTGCACCTCATGGCAAGACATGGCTCCCCAGCCCTGCAGCTCAAATATTCATCATGGCACCTGCTGCCAGGACAGGAAGCTCATTGGGAAATTTCATCCATGGAGGCTTCTTGATACATGCAAGCCATGTCTGTCTGTCTCTGTCTCTGGTGCCACTTTGCTTGAGCTGTAATTTGCTGTACTACACTCGAGCTATTCTTCATTATACTTTGTACCAGAACACAGTGTCTTTGTACTATTTTCTGGATTGTTTGAAGGGTAACAACATAAGAGCAGACATCTTGAATCAGGTGAAATGCATTAGTTTATTTATATTCTGCCCTCCCCGCCCTCCTGCAAAGAACCCTCAGTGGCTTACATAATATCCTTTCCACTTTTATCCTCATGACAACCCTGGGAGCTGGGTCTCCTAAGTCACAGGCCCAATGCAATCTTCTTCCTCCTCTGTATTTTATCCTCACAACAGCCCTGTGAGGTTGGTCATGCTGAGAGTCAGCAACTGGGACGAAGTCACCTGGTGTGTGTGCTTCCTGCTGAGAGTGAACCAACTGACCAAGTGCAGGCTAGAAGTCAGAGCTCTCAAGTATCAATCCTTCACTCTAGGCACTTCATGACATGGTTTGTGTAGACCAGCATTCTGCTAACACAGTCATGGCGACGACCAGGGTCTCTTGCTTTTCAGGGACACGACAACGTTCAAGGCCAGCCATGCAGCGTTTTTCTTCTTCTTCTGTGTGCCATGCACTGCTCCACATGCAAATAGGAATGGCCGAGCTTTGTAGACACGGCTTCAGTCTGCTTGGCTTGCAGGTTTAATGCCTTGCTTTCCTTCTGATTTTTCTCCCCAGAGGGCATTCCCCGGGAGACGTTGATGCACTTTGCAGCCCGGCTGGGGCTGCTGCGGCTGGCCTGGTTCCTATTGCAGCAGCCGGGGGGAAGAGGAGCGGTTTGTGTCCCCAACAGCGAGGGAGCTACACCTGTGAGCTTAGCCCTGGAGAGGGGCTATCAGAAACTGCATCAACTCCTGACAGAGTAAGGACAATTTTCTGCATGTGGTAGTGGTGTGGTTTATTAATGATGCTAACATACAGATCCAGCTTTTTTTGTTGCTTGGGCTAGCCCATTTTTTGATACAGCAACACCTCCAAGCAGAGAGTTGGATGCATGGTGCCCGCCCTGGCTGAACGAAGCCCTCTAGTCCAGGCCTCGATGTTCCCCAGGACACTTCTGCTGGTGGGTTGTCCGCTCTGCAGCCCTGGGAAGTGATCCAGACATAGACATGTCCCATGGCCTACTAATCTCCTTGACTGCAGAATGGATCAGCTCAGTATATACTCAGTTCTGCTCATTGTATGAACATTGCTGTTGCGGCAGTCTTCCATCACATGGGCACCATTCAAATTAATTATTGCAATTTAAAAACAAAATTTCCTGGTGCGCATACTTTTCAGGTCCCCTTCATAGGCACGCCAGGTTTCAGGTGTCTGTGTTTTATGGCATTGGCATTATGGTACAGAGCATCACTCTTCTTCTGCTCCCCTCGATGTATATCCCGCCCTCCCAGGTGGCCTCCAAAGGGTCTTGCAGCCACACGCCACCCAGATCCACTGCTTAGAGCCAGTGTGGTGGTTGCACTGTGCACCATCTGGACTCCACAGAGGTTCCCTCCCCTCACATGCAGCTGCTCCTGACGGACTTTGCCTGCTGTCTCCAACCCAGCACCTGCCAGATGCCTCAGACTGCATGTTGCTTCCAGCTCAGGGTCAGCCTGGTCATGGGCTGGGGATTATGGAAGCTGTGTTTGAGCACACCTGGGAGTGCCAGGCTGGAGAAGGCAGCCCTCATCCATGGTTCAGCATTGCTTCTGTGCTGTAACAATAACAAGGTGCACTGTTGTGAGTCAGCATTGCCAGCCAGTTTCAGGGGAATCCTCAGCGGCGCTGCCCACGAGTAGGAGGAGCAGAGTGGGAACCTTTCCAACTGCCAAGGGGAGAGGAAGTGATTGGGTGAGGGAGCATTTATGTGACTCCAAAGCCTCTTTCCTATTTCTTAGGGGAAAACAAGAGATCAAGGATAGTGCGTTTTGTGCCTGGTCTGTCTGCTTGTACTACATAATAGATACCCAGCAGTGGAGGGCATTCTCTGATAGAGTGCCATGAGATACACCATCTGGCTCCTGGGTGGTGGTGGGACCCTGTTGAAGTCCTTAGCATGCAGCCTGGCACATATGGAGACTGCTTTTCTGCAGAGAACCTGGTCTGAAACTGCAAAAGGGCTCAAGGGTTACGGTTGACTTTGAATTGAATCTGGAAGCAGACCAGAAACTCAAGCAATTGATGAGGTACCACATGATATAACAGCACTGCCTGTTACCATGTTTGTCCCCAGGCACCTAATAAGAGACACAGGTCGGTCGGTCGGTTGGTTGGTCGCATGGAGGCCTGTCCGTTCGCACTTCTACAGTGCATAAGAGTATGATGGGCTGGTCCTCAGAGAAGCCAGGTTCCTTCTTGAGACTTCTGCACAAGCCACTGTCCTGGATGTGCTTCTGGGAGGCGGAGTCTCACTGTACTTCCACCTTGTGGGTGACCCTTGTTCGGTGGGGTGTCCACTCTGCAGCCCTGGGGAGTGATCCAGACATTCGGTGCAGTGGGGCCTAGTAAAATAACCCATCATCTGCAGAGCAGCAAACAAGGCCAGGATAGGGAGTCTGGCAGAGAGTGGCCACCTCAGTGGGGTGTCAGCTGCTTTTTTATGTAATGCACCTCTCCTGGCACCCTGGTGGCTCCAGATGCATGGCTTGGAAAGTGCTCCAGTTCAGGTGTATGCACATGTGCAAGTTGGTTGTCCCAATTGAAATAGGGGTTCAATTACTTTTCAACATTTCCTAACTGCTTATCTCATCTTATCTCTTTCTCAGTGTTAGAAGCCCTAATCATTACTAACGCAAAGGCAGGTGTATGATTCAGAAGGTGCAACAAGTGCGGCACAGTGGTTCGAGTGTTGGACTAGAACTGTTGTGGCCCAGCACACTCCGAGGGTACTGAAGTGTGTTGTCCGACTGCGTGAATTAACTTGATTTTGTGGTTGCTTGTAATTTCAGAGAAGGAGCCAGTGAACCAGATTGCTGGAGCACTGTGTCACACACGGTGCATTCTGGGGAGTGCTGTGTCACGCACCACCGGGGGCTAGACATCTACATTCTGACGACGGAAACGAGAGAGGGAGTGGGACCAAGCATGGAGAGCGACATCATCCTGCTGGAGACACACATGCAGAACCACCAGCACATGGTAAGGAAAAGGGACCTGGCTCAGTCCAGCACACCAGGCCTGGGGCTGCTCTACCCGCTCAAAGTGAGCCCACTCCTGCTTACTCATGGCTGCTCGTGGGCCGAGCAGAGATTTGCTTCCTTTCTGGAAGCTAAGACAATGGTATCCATTGGAGGATGCTCTGAGAACAGGCTCCTTGAGGGGCAAAGAGGGCCCTGGAGGAAGCGTGTGCCTGCACGCTTACACAGCACCAGTTGGACACTTGGGCAACCTGTGGCCGTGGCCACTTTCCCCTGCAGCTCAACTGATCAGTCATCAGTCATCAAATTACCCCAAATGGCCTCATGTTTAGCTTGAAGTTCTTGTTGTCTGTCTTAGGACTGGCCTTGCAACCTTTGAGAACATGGAAGGCCCCATGTAAAAGCCAGAAATGCATCAAACAGTGCATGCTTGAAGGAGAGGTTGTGCCACCCTCTGGGGAACTCGAAGGGCTTGACTGGGACCCGGGGCCAGGTTTGGTCTGCAGGCTTCAGGTTCTGCTGCAGCTCTCCAGGGCTTCAGTCCAGGTGCTTTTCTTAAGTTTACCTGGCGACTGAACTTGAGCCCTCCTGTGAGCAAAGCAACTGCTCCATCCCTGAAGCACAGGAGGTGTGATGTGCATAGACATGGGGAGTTAATAAGCCACAGCGGGTGGAGTCACACACCACCAGACCCTCCCCTTGCAGCCCTGCACGGAAACCACAGTGTGTTGCTTGCTTCTGTTCAGCCCAAGGAAAGAGAGGGAAATGCAGGCTGCATTCTTTGAAGCCTCCATAGCGGGCGGCTTCAGTATGTCAAGACAAGCCCTCCAGGCATTTGACTCGGCTGATGAGACGCTTTAAGATATTTTATTATCCGTCTGGCTCCTCAGGAGTGTAAAATCTGCCCACGTTCTATGCTCAGAATCTTCGTGAAGGAATTGTGGATTAAGGTACAGGCAAGGCCTACCCAGCAATGTCCCAGTGGCCAAGGAAATACGTTTAGCCCCTCTTTCTTTCCCTGCCCAAGTTCCCTGGGAATTCCATCATTTTTTTATCACTCTGCTTTTAATGTGGGGTTGTCCTTGTTTTGGGGTGATCTGGATCGGTGGCCAGGCTGTTATTTTAATGCTTGCTATGGGTTTTTTGCTACTTTATTTTTTAAGCCTTTAGCATTCCAGGTTATTTGTAATGCTTTGTTTGTTTGTTTGCAAGTGTTTGCAAATCATTGCAAGTCTTCTCACATCGTTGCTAACAGTTCGCTATTGGTGAGCTGCTTCGAGGTAACTTTTTAGTTCCAAAAAGCAACGTAAGAAATGTCTTCAAGGTGCAGAACCACAGAGGCAGTTGGCTGTGAGGTTATGCACAAGAAGCGTGGGAAGCGAGTTAATGCAGGATGGAAATGGGCAGTGCTGCCGAAGGCAGCCACAAACCTTGAGCGGCCTCCACTTATTCTTCTGGCAGTTTCCTTCGTGTAGATAGGGTCACAGAGCAGTGCTGAGAAGCTGCCCCCTTCATGCATTTGGACTACTATTCCCATATGTCCTACCTAGCACAGGCAGTGAGGGGTTATGGGAATTGGAGTCCAACACATCTGGATGGTACTGGGTTGCTTACCACAGCTGTAGAGCAGCCTTCTCCAGCCTGGTGCCTTCCAGATGTTTTGGACTACAACTCCCAAAATTCCTAACTGCCGGATACAGCTATTATAAATAGCATGTTTGGGAGGGGAATTCTCTGCCCCGAGGCACTGATAGGGGGACTTATAGGGAAGGAACGTGATGTGTTGAAGCCTGCCTGAGTCCATTTGATGCCTGCATGGGAACCCCACATGTAGTGCTTTCAGCTGAGCTCATAGCTTCCTGGGAGAATTGAGTAGGAAGGGGCCTATAAGGCCATCAGATCCAGCCTCTTGCTCAGCGCAGGACTCCAAGCTAAAGCCTCCCTGTCCAAATGCCTCCTGAATGCCTCTAGTGGGGATGAGCCACGTTCCCCCAGGGCATTGCCATTCTGCTCTAATGGTCAACACATTTTTCCTGATGCCCAGCCAGAATCTGGCTTCTAGCTGGTTGAAGAGAGCCAGGATACCAAAAAGTCTAAAGGGAGAAGTGGAGCAGGAGATGTCATGAGAGCAAAGGATGAGGAGGAACAACTCTGGTTATACACCTTTCTTCATCTGTCAAGGCTCACCTCTGTGAGGACATGATCTTGACCACTTTTGAAAATTCAGGGCTGAATCTCAGAATAATTTGAGGATGGCTTTGCAGAATTCCTCACAGTTCTTAGAAACTGCTCAATACACAGGCATGGGCTGGTGCTCATTTATTTTATTTTATGCATTACTTTCTGCAAGCAGCCCAAGGCAGCATGCAGGATCCTTCTCTACCTCCCTGGCCTCATGGTCTCCCCAGTCCTTGCCCAGGACTGTAACTACCCTGCTGCCCTGCCTCTCATTCATCTTGTCACCTCAGAGAGCAAAGTGGAGCTTCAGTGCATCTGTGCATGTATTCAACATTCAGTAATAACAAACAAACCACCTTTAAAATTTGCTTGGGGCTCCCGCCGCGTCTCGGTTAGTGGTTAAAGGCTGCCAGAAGCACATAAGGAACATTCTTTTTTTATTGATAGAGCAAGTACTGGATGGGTACATCATGTCTGACAAATCGGAAAGGCTCTGTTTAGATGGCCCTTCCTATTGAGGCCTGGTTTGCTTCACAGCTAATCTAATTTGAATTTGGACTGGGGCCGGCAATCATTTCAGTTCAGTTCATGCAGGGTCAAGCTGAGAGGCCGCTGGCTTCCTCCGGAAGGGACTGCTGTTCTTCTGTCTGTGGACGCAGAATGATTTTGCTGCGAGGCCTGTGGAGAGAGCCTGCTCTTTCCCCTCCCTCCTGCCCACCCCCAGTCCCTACTCTGTGCTCCCAGGCAGGTGTCACCTGTAGCCTGGAAGCTCCCAGCACTGGCCAAGGACCAGCTACAGTGCCTTTCCCTGCTTTGGCTGTAGAGCCAGCAGTCACCCGATTCAGCTCTCCTGCACTGGAAAGCATCTTCCAGTGCTGATATTTTAAGAACTTGTGGTGTGATGGCAGAGGGCAGGGGGGGAGGGGTCTTAATTTTTCTGAGGTGTCCATGAGTGATACTTGTGGCAGAAAAGGCACCTGCGTGTCTGTATTTCATATATACAATCCTACAGGCACAGAATCTGAGTGCCAAAGTTGGGGAATTTCCAGGGATTGTCCAAGGCCTTGCTTTTAAAAGCCAAGTTTCTAGTCCCTCAGGCTGCAGAAACTTGAAGTGTGTGGACAATGCTTGATGTAGCTAGGAGTTTATCTGTATATAATCAGGTTTCTTCCCCCCCCCTTTTATTTTTTTATTAGACAAAAAAAAGCATAAATACAATGCATCATAACAATAATAATATAACATAATAAAAACACAATAATAAAAGGTAAATGATAAAGTGCCCCCACCACCCCGGAGACCAATGCTACGACCATTCACATACTATAACAATTAATAATATATCATATACTTCAATTATTTCCAAATCCCCTCCAGAAGTTTATATAATCTTGACTGGGTTTACAGCCTTTGCCTTCTATCAGTACTGCTTTTACAAAATTTCATTATATTTATTTGCTTTCATTAATCCTCTTTTAATTTTTATTTTTGTTGTCAGTTTCATTGATTACCATGTTCCATATTTCATTATTTTATTTTATTTTTTTATTATTATAATAACATTTCTATGCCGCCCCTTGCCGAAGCCTCGGGGCGGCTTACAACACAATAAAATACATTGAAATACAATAGAACATAATAAATTACCACTAAATACAAAAATACAAAAAATACACTTGCCTTTGCAAAACCCAATTCTGTTTCCAATATTTAACTATTGCTAGCCTAACTGCCATTATCATACTTACAATCAATTCTTGCTTAGCTTCATTTATATCTTCTTTTTCTATCAACAGTAATAACACCATTCTTGGTGACATTTCTAAGTCTATATCTAAAATTTCTCCAGTTTCCTTAAATACCATAATCCAAATCTTTTGTATGTTTTCACAATCCCACCACATATGTTTATAAGTTCTGATCGCTTTACCACATCTCCAACATATATTAGAATATTTGTCATCAATTTGATTTAACTTAACTGGTGTTAAATACCATCCCCATATCACCTTGTATCCATGCTCTTTAATTCTAACTGACATATTCTTATATGCTCTTCTGTTCCAAATATTCTTTCAATCCTTTTCTTTTATTTCACCTACATCCATTTCCCAAATTGATTTAAAACTTTTTGTCTGATCCCCTAGCTCCATTAATCTCCTATAGATTTTGTCAATTCTTCCTTTACTTGTATATTCTTTCTCAGTCTCACATTCTTTATAATCATTTCAAATTTTGTTAATTGCCTTTCTTCCTCTTTAAATTTATCCTCCATCTTTATCCGTTTTTCTAATTGAATTTAATTTAACCAATTTAATTTAACCTCTAGTAATATTCTCCTTAAATGTAATATATTTTTATCTTATTTTTCCAGTCTTCTCACATACATACATACATACATACATACATATATATATATATATTGTTATTTTTAATTTAGTTTTCCAATCCTTTAATTCTATTTTTGGGAATTTCTCCATTTTGACCACTGGTGTTAATGGAGAAATTCCTGGGATTAACTGTTGTCTCCAATTTATAATCAGGTTTCTGAGACAGAATTCTTCAGAGCAAAAAGAATTCCAGGCAACTTCCATTGGCAGCCCTGAGAAATAGCTCGGGGGCTGGGCTAACAGATTCCTAAGCCAAGCCATACCCCTGAAAGGAAAGGTAGCCTGCCTTCCCCGAGCTGGTGTCTCCAAGATGTTTTGAGGTTCAGCTTCAGAAGTGGTCAAGAATTCTGGGAGTTGTATTCCAAAATATCTGCCATGTGGAAGCTTGGAGAAGCTGATGTATCCCTGGTTCTGCATGTAGGCAATCCTTATATTATGTCATTCATCTGGTGTGTAGGAATGGGGTCAGGGCTGGGGGGATCCTGCTGTTAAATTTGAATGGCCTCTCCTGCCATCTGCAACAATAAATACAAGGACAGAACCTGAGCCATCCAGGCAACGCATGTGCCACAACCCCAAAGGAACAGAGTTCACTGCAATCAGATACTTGCCGCGTACAGGTAACCCAAGCCAGGTGAAAAGCTTCCTGGTACAGGGAGGAGTCGGCAGGTCAAGCCTGGTTCACTGCCGGAATGGTGTTGCATGGACCTCCCTGGCCAACTCCAGAGGCAAAGGGAGGGTGCTAGCTAAGGGAATGGAAAAGGCACTGTGCTTGTGTGTGCGTGTGTCAAGTGTCAGGTGGTGGGCTGGCTTCTCCCTTCCAGAGGTGGCTCTCCCACCAAACTAGCTGGCCAAGTGGGCTGTCAAAGCCTCCAAAAAAAAGCAGTGTCAGAGCCGGCCGTTTGTGTAATCATGCAACTTATTTGCTTCCTTGGAATGGTGTCTGGGTGGCTTTTACTAAAGATTATTAGAAACATTCTAGGGAAGTTTTAAGTTAACCCATGGATTAATCTTTCAGAGGCACTGCATGCAGTAAAAGGAAGCATAACTGTCGTCATTCTTCTCTTCTTCTTTCTAGAATGCGAGCAAACACCCGCTTCCTGAACAGAACTGCAAAGAGAGCAGTCCGGATGCTGAAGCTCAGGGCCCTGCAGCTGCTCTGGACTGTGATCTGGGCAAGGCAAGGACCCAAAGCAGCCAGGGAGATCTGTCTGTCCTGCCGTGCCTCGACGCAGCGCCCACCCCGGCTCCTGCCCCTGCCTGCCCTGAGGACAGCGACTGCCAGCAACACAAGCAGCTCTCAGACATGCCACAGGCCTTGCAGGGACTGAGGGATGCAGAGTGCCCAAAGACTTCCGGTGAGAGTAGAAATATAGCTGACAGGTTGCGCAAAGAGGAAAAGGAGGAGCTTCCTCCTGCTGTCGACTCTGGGGCGCTGTTGGTGGAGAATCGTAGCAGGCTGCACCCGGTCGCCAACCTTTGCCGTGCTGCTGGCCCCCACTCCAGTGGAACTCCAGCTGTGCAAGCTGGAATGACATCCTCTGAGGCTGCTTTGGAGCAAGGTGACCCGAAGGACAGCAGGCATTTCCCCGAGGAGGCGCAGGCTGCTGGAACAAGCACGGGTGAAAGTGCCCCTGAGCCTGTAACTTCCTGTGAACAGGACAGGGATGTCATTATGGGGCAGAGTGAATGCAGGAGCTGCACAGGAAGTGGCGAAGTGGCTGCCACAGCTCGGCAGAGCCTGGGGAACGGGGAGGGTGATAACAAGCCCCTGGGAACGGCAGCTGCCCACGCGTTGCCATCCCTGGCTGCAGCTGGCAAGGATCCCGATGTGTCTTTGCTTGGGGAGGCCCCTGAGCATGCCGTGGATCTACAAGCTGTCAGACCCATTGAGGCGAACACAGATGTTGGTCCCACTGAGAGGGAAGGCAGCCTGCAGATGTGTTTGGAGACTCCCGACAATGGTGCAGGGAGTGACTTTGCTCAACGTCCTGAGGATTGTGTGCTCCCACCCGCAGGGGTCCAAGGCATGGCTCAGAGGCCAGAACCAGAACTGGTGGTGGTCAATGAGGAGGGAGGTTTGGAAATTTTGCCGAAACACGATACTGCAGCAGAAGTGTGTGATAACCCAGGGCAGCCACCAGAAGATGGGAACACGGATGCTGGGATAGATGCTTTGGATTTGAGCAGCAGAGTGCAGAATGCTGATTTTGACGCCATTGAGAAAGATGATAGGCCAAGTCAATCCTCTCTGGAGGGTGAAGTTTCCTGTGCCAGGGATGGTCTGCCAAAGGTGGCAGAAGAAGGGCAGGGGGAGCAAAAGCCCTTGGAGTGTCTGCCTTTGGGAACTGAAACCATCAGCTGTACTTGTAGAGGAAGCACCAGCTTGGGCAGCCTTAACCAATGGGCCCATGCTGTGAGCCCTGCTAACAAGGACCCAGCTGGCAAAGGGGAGCAGGGGAGCTGCTCTGAATTGTGCACAGATTCTGTGGATGCCTCCCGGCTGCCCCCATGCACGGGCAGCCCTGCAGTGTTGTCTCCAGTTGGGTCAGAGCCTCTTTGCAAACACGCTGGGCTATCAGGAAGCACAGGTGAGCTGGACCGGTTTAGCAAAAGTGCTCAGGAATTCATCGCCGTGGCTTCTGCCTTGTTGGTCGAGGAAGCGATCCAGCAGGCTCGGCAGATCATGGCTCACGAGGATGGTGCCGGAGCGGCCCCTGTTGGCCAGGAGGCATCTGCGCACCTTGAGGAGCTAGCCCTACCTTTGTGTGGCAAGGGCACCGAGTGTATTCCAGATCATCGTGTAATGGGCACACCCTCGCCTATTCATCATCAGGAATCAAAACAAAACCAGGAAGCGGCTTTAGGAGCAGCAACTGGCGAAGTGGCGGCAGCAGAACTGACTGGGCTTGCAAAGGAGGGGAGTCCCGTGTGCCCAGAGCTAATAGCAGAGGTATCTCACCGCGACACAGACGAAGAGAAGAGACCTTCCCTGCAGCTGCCTGGCGAGGAGGAGGAGGGCCTGGCCTTGAGAGCTGTTGTGCAAGGTCCTTGTTGTGATGGTCGAGCGAACGAAAGCAATGCAGAGGTTGGATTAAAGGGGAAAGCCTCCAGCCCGGAGGCTGGCGAGAATGTGAGGGTGGGTACAGATGGGGATGTCCTTCAGGGTTCTTCCCGGCTACTGGAGGATGCCTCTTTTTGCCTTGGTGAGGCCCCTTGTGCTGATGCCACACTGAAGCTGGCGCCGGAGCTCAGCCTGGCTCTGCAGGAGGTCTCTCACCCTAGCGGAGACTCTGCTTTCATGGAACCCCCTCTGGTCGCCCACGAGCTACCCCAGGTAGCTGATCTTCCACAGGAAGTAGAGAATGTACCTTCCAGGATCTTGCTTCAGCCAATTGCTGAAGAGCCTCCGTGTGACGCCGACTCTGGGTCTGAAGTGCTCTCTTTGGCCAGGGAGGGTGAAACCCAGCCTAAAGTTGGAGCGGCCCCGCCAGATGCCCAGGCTCTGTCCGATGAGGGCCAAGGGGAGGGAAGCCGAGCGGAGCCAGAATTGCAGCTGCTGCCACCTTGTCCCACGGTCGAGTGGCTGAGGAAAGTGGAGGTGGAAGGCCCTGCTCACGAAGCTGGCGGCCTTGTAGTGGCGAATGCTGAAAATGCAGCAAAAGCCCCTGAGCAAGCTGCATCAGTGACAGAGGCATGTCCTCCCGTGGCCCCTCTGGCTGGGAACCCCGGTGGAGGTCCCCCCTTACAGGAATCGGGAGCTAAGACCCTGCCTGTGCTGGGTGCTGGACCCACCCTCAATGGAGAAGCAGCTTCAAATTTGCAGCCTGGCAGACTGGTGAAGCCGACTGCGAAAGTACAAGAGGCGAATGCTTTACCTGTTGCAGGTAAGACTCTTTCTGTGTTCGGGAAGGGGATTTGTTTGTGTTTGTTTGTGTTTGTGTAAGTGAGCAGAGCCGGGGGATGCACCTTGGCCTGTGAGAACTAACTTTTCAAAAAGAGAGGGTGGGAATCTGATTGCTGATGGGTGTGTTTAAAGCATTCAGGAAGGAACATGGAGAAGAGAGAAAAATCAATCTCTTCCATCTTTGTTTGGAGAAGCCATAAATCAAGATTCCCCAACCTGGTGCCCTCCAGATAGGTTGGACTGCAAGCCCTATTGATCATCTCTTGCCCCTTCCCCTCTGCTCTCTCCTGTCCCTTCTCTCTGCTCTCTCTTCCCACCCCACCCCTTCCCTTTTTTGCATGCATTACTTTTGCAAGCTGCTGTGAACACTCACTGGTGGCTAGAATAAGATGCCAGTAATGATCCTTAAGCCCCCTTCTTTATCAAAGGAGGCAGTGGAAAAATAGCAAGCCCCTCTGGCATTGCACGCGCCCTCCTAGAACAGGTGTCGGAGCTGACTTAAACCGGAGCTGTGCTGCTTCTCTGCTCACTCAGAACGGAGAACCCAGCCAGGCTGCGCACATCAGCTCCTCGTGTTCCAGAAGTGCCCTCCTGCGCTGAACCAGTCTGTCTCCAAATGTATTTTTAGGTCATGGGGGAGGGGGAAATAATATCCCCCCCTTTTTGCTTTTTCTGAAATTCCAAGCGAGTGCGGCAGCTCCACTTTTGTGCACATTCAAGACTTTGCTTGGACCGAAGCCTCTATTTCCCACTTGAAAAAACAAAGGGCGGGAGACCGATTTTGGTTGATGAAGAGCGTTGACAGGATAGACTGGTTGGACTCCTTATTAAACCTTTTTGCCTCTTCTGCAACAGGAATTTGTAGAACACACTGTTTTCTTTTTCCGAAGGTAAGAGAGGGAGAGGGAGGGAGGGCCTTTCCCCAATCTCTGCTGAAATCCAAGAGGCAGAATCTTTGGCAATGCTTAATGATAGTTCAACGCAGGCTTTTATGGCCCCACCTGCTCAGACCGCTGTTAAAATGTAAACAGCTTCTCTCTCCTTGCTGCTATTATGCTGTTTGCCCTGAGGAATCACAGGTGTGGCAGGCGCACCCCCGCCCACCTCACACAGTTTGATCTGCAGCAAATTAGTACCAACAACTCTAACACAAAGTAGAACTGCGGAAAAGTAGCAAGTGGAAGTGGGGCTTCTCTGCAGTTTTGCATGTGTCATAAAGGCTGTCTCCTTTCTACCTCCCAAATCTGAAGGGAAGGAGCAGGAAAGGCTTTAGTCACTGCCTTCCTCGGGACTTGTGTGCAAGTTTTTTGTGAGCTTTTTGTGCTTTTTGTGAGCACTAGATCTGAAAGAGAGCTTCCTTCCACCTGGAAAATCTTAACTGACACTCCACTTGGCATGAATCAGCATTTAAGCAGCTCCATTTTATTTTTCACACTGTATGGGAGCTTGGTATTTCAGTTGCTTGAGAGCAGCTGTAACATGATACTTGGGGAGTGTTTGTACCATACGGACTCCTCTTCCTTCCATACATCAGTGGCTGCTCCTAAATTTATCTCCCCCCCCACACTTTTGCCCCACTTTGGTGTGGATAAGAATCTGAAGGGGGAAAGCGATAAAGCTGCATAACAGATTGGCATTTGTTAACTTTAAAGAGCTTTTTTTAAAAGTTAACAGTTATGACTTTTCTACAATACAATACAATGTCACTTCCTTTTGGAATGCCCATTTGCAGATTCTGTGCCTTAATCCTCTCCCCTCCCTCCCACATCTCATTCTTTCTTTTGTTCAGCAGATAATTCCCCTTTAAACAAAGACTTATTTTTATTAGCTGGGGAAGATTATTTTGTGACATATCACACTGATAAGTGTGTTAAACTAGCTTTAAGGAAGAGAAAGTTCTCCTTAAAATTTTTTTCCTGTGATGATGTAGCTGATTGGATTATTTTAGTTCATTTAATAATGTTCAGTCTAAAACCAGTTGTTAACAATTCATATTTTCTTAACATCCTGTTTAGTTTGATTTCCTGGCATGTATGTTGCCATTATTTCCTTTTCCTTGTTTCTGTAATTCATGCGATGTACATGCAGAACTCTGGACAGCTGTGGAGCAGTGCTCTGACTGAGTATCCTTTAGCGAACCAGGTAGTCTCATGAGGGATGGTGAGGAGGACTGTGCAATGGATTTGGGTGATCTGGAGGGCAGGCAGAATTGACGTGCGAGATGGCAAAAGCTGAAAGCGCAGGAAAGAGGGCCGAGACTGGAAGGCCACCGTTTGATTGATTGATTGATTGATTATTTAGGAAATTTATAGGCCATCTATCACTGTTGTCTCTGGATGGCTTACAGAATTATTCTAAGTCCTAAACAAAATAAATTAGCTATTCCACGAACTGAGCATAAAACTGACATATTTAAAATGAATTAAATAAATCATATACAATTAAAATTGGTTGATGTTAAAATATTGATCAAATAAAAAGGTCTTGACATGGCGCCAAAAAGCATATAATGATGGCGCCAGGCGGCCCTCTCTGGGGAGTGCATTCCATAGGCGGGGCGCCACTGCAGAGAAGGCCCTCCTCCAGGTACTCTGTCCCCTAACCTCTTTCAAAGAGGATTCCCGGAGGAGGGCCTCTGCTGCTGATCTTAGGGCACTTCCTGCTATAGGTACTTGCTGCACATGGATGCTGAGGAAGGCAGGGCTCAGTTTACCAGTGCTTGGAAGTGACTGGAAAAAGCAAAGAGGAACAAGTCCTGTTAGTTTCAGCTAGCATGACCAAGTGAGAGCCTAGTCCAAAATCTCTGGAAGGTGCCAGTTCAGGAGGGCTGCTTGTGTACCAGTTCCCCCACCCTATCCACAGGGCAAATGATGCATTCTGACAGAGGGCCAGGAACAGCACATGAATACAGCGTGAAAGAGAGGGAAGGGGTCCTTGAGGGTTTTGCCGGGCAAACGGGACTTTTGCTTATTTGCCTCCCAGGTGATAAGAAGGAGAGGGATTTGTAAACGGGAAAGGAGATGGTTGTTATAAGTATGAACAGGGTCTCCTTTACAAAGCTGAGTTCTGTGTTTATTATCTTGATTTATCTTGCTGGATAAGATGTCTGAGAATAAGGTATCCCCTTCAACACTGTGTTTTAAAGTATTTATAAACTCTGTCTGCAGTCTTACCAACAGAATGGGCTCAGCATGTAGGGTCATCATATTTTCTCCATGTATCGGAAGTCTATGAATGCGTTCCAGTCTACCTTGTTTCTCTAGCATAGAACAGGTTTATTAATATAGAGGTATCCCACCTTCTTCCCATTGTGGAACTCATGGTGGCTGCACGGGCCCCTCCAATCTCAGGCCACCCCAGACCTGCTTAGCTTCAGCTTGGTGAATGCTTGGATTTATAGGTGGATTCATTCCCATTCTTCATACAGGGCCAATCTAATATTTTAACTCCATCACTTCTCTTCCACGTAGGGAATAGGGTCTTGGTAACCTGCAAAGATAGCACCTATCATTATTTATTTTAATCCCTTCCCCCCATCACAACAGACACTCTCCTAGGAAAAAGGGGAGGAAATTTATATGTGAACGAGCTGCTGACCCCATTAGAATTAGTGCTAAGAAACAAACAAAGCCCTCCAAATAAATTTACAATATGGAGTAGAACGTCAGCCAGATGTTTGTCAGGAACAACAGGTAAAAGCAAGAAAAGAGGCTGGGGGCTTGTGAAATATGAAGACTTGATTGGATATTTCAAGAAACTGTTTGTTATACTGGATAGGAGGGAAGAGGCCTGCTGCGAAGTTGATAGGCGAGGTGATCATATACATAAAGAACGGTCTAAGAAAGAAAAAAGGCAGCTTGTTTGTTCACTGTATTTTTTTTCCCCTCCTTAGTGGCTTACCTATAATTACTAAAACTAGAAGCCTCTTCCTGCAGGCTTACAGTCTAGAAAGACATGACACAGAAGGAAAAAGCATGAGGAGGGGAGGCGGAGGGGAGGAGGGAGAAATGGCTCAGCTTCTGGCATGGCTCCTGCTGGGACAGCTGGTGGGGGAGGAGCTGTCCTGGAGCTGGTCCTCCGGCAGGGACTGGCCTGGGTTCCCCTTCTCGAGATAGGAAGGGGAGACTGAGGGAACTCAAAGCCATGCATGTCTATTCCCGGTATAGGAGTCCAGTGCTGCTGTTCAGCAGGGCCAGGAGTACCTCTCCAGCCCTCTCCGTATCTTCTGCTCCTGCTCCTTTGGCAGTCTGTCTTTCTTGAGCCCTGGACATCCTGCTGGCTCCTCTGTTTTGCTGTTGATGCTGTTTGGGGCAGATGAGAAGGGGACGCTGCCGTGGTTTCTGGCTGCATGCTTGATTGCAGAGGAAGAAGTGGTTGGCTGTTGTCCTTTTCTTTCCTGCTTAATCCGGGTTCCTGGGGATACAAGAATTGTGTTGCTGGATCAGTCCTAGGATCCATGCAGCCCAGCATCCTCTAATGATGGATAGCAAGGTGCTTCGAGGAAGCCCCCATGTAAAAAGGTGGCAGCCCATCCCCTGCTTTTCCCCAGCATCGCTGGTTGGGGTCTGCTGGCCAGTCACTGGCTCATTTGTGATCAGTTGGCAGTCATCTCCACTTCTCACTTGTTTAAGAGCAGCAACAAATCCTTGAAGGGTTGCCTTCTCCCACACCATCCTGTACCTGCATCTCCACCTTTACTGGAGGCCCTTCTACCCTCAGGAAGAAAAGTATTCTGTTTCCCCCCCGATAATATATGAGATGGGAAAAGTACTCTTCTCTCTGTGCTGGTTTATAGTTCTTCTACTGTTCAGTTGCACCCACTCAACCCCACCCAGTTTTCCCCGGCCCCTCTGGATGTCAGGGATATCAATTCCCATCACAGCAGTTTGGGCTCCTTCCTTGTGACATTTTGCACAGCTCTTTCTGCATATCACCAGGTTTATCGTGGGATTCACATGGTGTGGCTCTTTGGAGGTAGTGCCCAAGAGTGGTGGTTCTCTGCCCACTTCTCTCTCCCCCGTTTTGCTGCACAAGCTTGCATGGCTGCATCCAGCCCCCCTTTCATGTTTGCTTGTGGCCAGTCCTATTTATTCTGAGGGAGAGCTGAGCTTGGGTTGGCTTGCCAAGGCATGTGTTGAGTCTGCTGAGAAGCCGCCACTACTTCATGAAACCAAACACACAGTGCTTTTCAGGCAGTCCTTTAGCTATATGCAACGGAGGGGAACCTCCTTGAAACCAAACTCTCCCCACCACAAAACCATTTCTCTGCATTTTTAAAAAAAAATCCTGCTGCTGTTGCTAAGATGTCAACATTTTCTGCTGTGCAATCAGAAAAGGCTCCCCTCTCTTGGGTATAAAGGGAAATGCTAGTCGCCAATGGAGCTCCTCCATTTAGGCACCTGTATTCAGACACAGAGCAGAGCTTCCAGATTCCGTGATGTGTGCTTGGCACAATTTATAAACCAGTAGCAATGTTTTGCAACGAATCCTGCTTGTTAGATGAGAGCAGAGTTTGATCTCTAGGCCAGCAGTGGGTCTAAACATGGATGGGGCATCATTTAGTGAACTGGGAGGGGAGCTCCTCTGCTTGTGTGCCCCACGGTGAATGTAGGTGACGGCATGGCCTACCAGTACAGTGCTCCTGCCACCTGGCTGATGTGGCTTTGTAGAGCTGCCAGTGCATAATGGTCGGCACATAGAAAACTAGAGAACCCATTCTCATAAAATGGACCAAAACTCTTTCCTTCCTTCCTTGGAAATGGTCACGTGGAACTACTTTATAATGTGTCAAACACGGTGGATCCAATGTTTCAAAACGTCATTCCTTCTGCATGTAAAACATGGTCTGGTTCACTGAACCTATCTCTCCTCTCCAAAGGACTAATGTAAGAAGGATGCCTTATACTGAACTATACTAAATATGAGCATGATGCTAATTGGTGGCTTTACACAAATTCAATAAGTAAGAAAGAAAGACAGAAAGACAGAAAGAAAGATGCAATTGCATGCACATTTAGAAGGAAACAAGTCCAGACTGGAGGAAAGTGTTGCTCTCCAGGCTTTGCTGGACTGCCACTTCCATCGTTTCGGACAACTGGCCATGCTGATTGGAGTCCCACAGGTATCTGGAGGGCAGCAGGAGTTCTCTGTGCGTGCTTTGTAGCCTGTAGGGAACTGAATCTATCAGGACCTGCATGCAAAGAATGTGCTGGTAGGACTAAATGGTGGCCCTCTTCTAGCCAGTGGCCATTTAGGTACTTGTCTGAATCACCCTCCCCTATTGTTCCAGTGTGGCAGCAGGCATTCCAGTGATTCAGAGCCAGTTTACACAGCTGGCAGCACTGAGTGCTATTTTTTTTAAACTGAAGGCACATCCATTTGCTCTGTGTGAGGCTCTTGCTTTTGCGCTCAAGTTCAGAAAAGTTTTACCACTCAGTTGAGTGGACAGCATAAATGAGATCTCAGGTGCGTTAGCCTATTTGCGAACTTCCCAAGATGCTTCCCTTGTGCTTATTTTCTGCTTTATCCAATCAGCCCATGACTGTTCTTTAGCACCTGTGTAGGATCCTACTCAGCACCCATGTCTTATACAGCAGGATGGATTTTCTCACTCATGTGCCTTCCTATGGTGTGGCATTTCTAACTGCTAGGGAGCCCGGGAACTCTGCACCCCCCAAAACCTGTGCATTTCCTGGGATTCTACTCATTAGAGCTGAGACAAAATGCACATCCCTTCATTTTGTCTCTGTAGATGGCAAAAATGGGGGAAACCATGACCACGGTTTCGAGGGCCTGCTCTGATTTCTGTAAGGGTGCAGTCCTTTTGGTTTGGTGCGCTTCTGGACCAGGAGGCTTATGAGCAACCTGTGCAAAGCAAAAGGCAGGCCGGAGGTGATATCCACCTCCTTCACCCATGCCCTGCATCCTTCAGCAGATGGGCGCTTTGCTCAGCTAACTGTGGTGCATCAGAGGGAAGGGTGTTGGACTGACCCCAGGATAATTTGTATCCTGGCCTCCTCAGACTTCTTCCCCCTAGAACGCCCCCTTCGCCCACTTTCAGAAGTCAAGTTTGTGATCTTGGAAAGTGGCTGGCCCAGTTCTTTCTGGCTGCCTGCAGTGATGGCACGAAGTGGGATCTTCGGTTCTCCCCTCTGAGGCTCAAGTGCTGTCTCTGATTTCAGGCTGCAGACTTCAGGCTAGCCTGTCACCCGCCAGGTGCTCTCTAGGGGCCATGGGTCGTCTGCTCCCTGCCATTGGGAGGAGAAGGATGGCTGCTTCGGGTGCTCGTTCTCAAGGACTGCTGGCTGGGTGGGTTTCAGAGGAACTGGATCAGAATGTGAAGCAGAACTGGGAGGAGCCTGGGAATGTGGACCTGACCCAGACACTGAGATGAGGGAAGCAGAGATGCTCATCTCAAGGCCAGACTCCCCAGGTGGGCAGGCAGCCTCTGGGAATAACCAAGATCTACAGTGGGGGGGGGGGCTCAGAGCAGGAGAGTTTCTCAGATTTAGATGAGGATGGCACGGCTCTTGGCGCCATGGCACAGCGTCAGCAGAGGAGGGCAGCCCAATTAGAGGACTGGCCTGTGGAGATGAGGTGCACTAACATTCAGAAGGCCTCTCCTGAAGGGTTGGGACCCAGGCGTGCTCATAAGGAGAGTTCCTGGAGGTGATTGCCAGTCTGAGTTCAACAGCTTGCTCTGTGCATGCTCAGAGATTCCTTCTGGGTGTTTTGTGTTTTTGGGGCCAATAAAGAACACTTTGCAAGGCAAAGGGTCTGTGGTCTTTGAATGCATGAAGGAGGAACCATGACTCACTACGCCTACAAGTTTTGGGTGCTCTCATACCTGTGGGCTAGTGGTGGGACAGCCATGGTGGTTCCTCTTCCTCCTCCTCTTTGCTGCCTTTGGTGGCTGAAGTGGCATCAGTGGTCCTGCCAGTGGCTGGGTGTCTGCACCTTTCCCTCTCTACCACCATGAAGCAATGTGCTTCTGGCCATTTGGAAGTTCTCTGATGCGCTCCCTAATTTGCCCTTTCTTTTTGCTCCTTTTTTCTTCTTGAAGTAGCTTCTTGTTGCTAAGTGGTGTCTTTTTGGTCAGAAAATGGCACGGTGTCACAAGATGACATAAAATGGGGGCTAGTGAGTGGTTAGAGTACTCCACTGGGCAACCCAGGTCCAAGTTGTGAGGATAAAAAGGAGACGAGGAGAACTTCTAAGCTGCATTGAGTTCCTTGCAAGAGGAAGAAAGGGGAGGTGTCTGTGTAAGGTAGTAACAGCAACAGCCAGTATTCTGGTTGGACTGAAACCAGCCACGTGGAGTGTAAAGCAGGTGGAGGCTTGAAGTGGCAGGTGGGAAGAATTACTGTGAAGGAAACCCTGTTTGGATAAGCAAAGAAAGATCAGCTGTGATGCTGGTGGTGCTGTGCAAGGAGGGAACTTTGTTAAATTCTACCCAATAATTCTCTCTCTGTCTCTGCAGGCATTCTTGAGATGAAAACAGAAGAGGAGGTGGGCTTTTTGATGGACCCTGGTGAGACTGCCACACCTGAAGGAATGGTAGGTCCTTTGCATTCCTTGTTTATGTTCTGTTCATGTCAGTGCAGTTGGATGCTAAGGTTTCCCCAGCCTGTTATGAGGAAGCCAATCCCCAGCCTTCATCCCCCCTTTTCCTGCTTGTCCTCTGCCTGTAAAGAACACTGGTTGGAACTTGTGCTTTGCTTCAGGGACACCTTTCAGTCCCGTGATGGAAGGAATATTCTTTGGGGCAGCTGATTCACTGCTGTCGGCCGTCCACCCCAGGCAGTTTGTGGGTAGAGCCATTATCTTTTCCACCAAAGATGGAGTTGACCTTGCACATGGGCTCGGTTTGTGGTGAATCATCATCACATGTCGATGAGAATGTGGCAAATGTTGGGGTCCCAGATTGCTTGGCTGGGAGTCAAACTGTTGCCGTTTCCATCGGTCTGTTTTGAAAGGCATACCTGCTTGGCCTCTTTTTCCTCCCCTCCACTGAATTGTCCTTGTGCATGCTGCAGGCCAGGAACTGGTAGCCCAGAAGAGCAGCCTCTTCCCCTCCGCCCATGGCTTTTTGGGAGTCCCTTCACTCAAACAAATGGCTCTTTAATCACCTGCCCACCCATCTTAGCAGGAGTGAAGGGCTTCTCTCAGTTTTCCTTCTAACCTGCTCGTCTCCCTTGTGTCTCAACTCATGCATGGGAACAGAAACAGAGGTGGATAAAATTGAAGGACTACTAAAACCTTGTTGAGGATCGAATGACATGGAGGCAATGAAAGGACCCTTGGTCCATGTCAGGACAACTATATGTTGGGTATTGCATGAGCAGAGCTGACTGGAGCTGGGGGTCAGACTAGATGGCCCAGGAGGTCCCTTCTGATTCACAATGTTTCTGTGTTTCTAAGAGGTCCTGCGGGAATGAATAAGCTGCTTCTCCCTTGCTCAGTTTTTAAAATGTGGCCCTTTGTTTGGGGTGAGTAGCTGGTTAAGGGCATATTCTGTCTTGGACTGAAGGCCCTTGTATCAGGGAACAAGCTCCTAAACATAACAGGCCTCACTGGGGAGATGGCCAAGGCTGGGCTCAAAGGATTCTTGGCATGCATTTATTTTGCTGGGCTTGTGGTCAGCAGTGCTTCTGGAGCCTGGCAAGAATGAATCATGTACCCACTCGTAAAGGTCTCCTAGTTCTCCCTGGACAATTCTCCTGGCAGTTCCTTTGTTTTGGGTCCTTGCTTGACTGGTGGCAGCTCCTGAAATGAGACGGCCCATGCTGGCTTGTTTGGAAAGGAAGACACTTCGCAGACAGGTAGCTAGGCTAGATGGGCCCTGTGTAGAAGCATGGGGCAAAACGTGGGCTTCCAGTGGGCTAGAAAGCTAATCTTGCATTTGAAGAGAAGAGTTCTTGTACTTGAGGTTGTATTCCAGCCCTATGCGTGGCGTGAAGCCTGCATGATGATGCCATCTTGCCAGAGCAGTGTTGGCTTGGGTTTGCTCAGTGCCTTTGTGGGAGAGCACCTGGAAAGTCTGTGGATGCTGCCTTGGGGACCGTCTCAGAAGAAAAGCAGAATGGACATATAATGCTGTGAATAAAATAGTGGGAGCTCCTCCATTCCCCCCTGATTTTGCTTTAAGTATGCTAAGAGGGACAAAGATGGAAAAGCAGGGAGAGATGATACATAGACGAGAAAACACACACACACACACACACACACACACACACACACACACAGAGAGAAGAAAATTTGGTGCTTGCGCTTAAAAATGAAAAGTAGCCCCCACGTTAAGAACAAAAGAAGAGTCAGGCTGGGTCAAGTCAAAGGCTGGTCTAGTGAACAGCCAGCTGCCTATGGGAAGCCTGCAAGCAAGTCATGGGTGCAATATATTTGTTTTTCGATGCCAGGCAAAGACCTTTTTATTTAAACACCATTTTAATTGTTAATATTTATTTATTTATTTATTTATTTATTTTATTTTTATGGCCAGGATGTCTCCAATTATATTGTTTTATATTGCTATTATTTATTTATTGTTGTAAGCTGCCCCAAGGCTTCGGTGAATGGGGCGGCATAGAAGCTTTCTACATAAATGAATGAATGAATAAATGAATGAATGAATAAATAAATAAATAAATAAAAAATAAAAATAAAAATAAAATAAAATAAAATAAAATAAAATAAAAATAAATAAAATAAAAATAAATCCTCCCACACCTGGTGGATAGAAGTGATGCTGGATGTAATAGGTCTCTATCATGACTCTTAGCCAAGATAGTCCTGGAGGGTGACAGGATTAACAATTTGATGCCCCTTCTCTAGAAACAGTTCCTTACTACATGCAGAGCCAGTCCCAAAAACCCAGCGGGAGGGAGGACAGCCATGTAAGAGCCGTCTTGGAAGGGAAGGTGACTTAGTGTTGCCATTGCTGCTGTCAGCGGTTTGCTGATTGCTGATTATTTGCCACAAATGCAGTTGATGAAGAGGGTGCTATTCTACAAAAGCCTGTGCCCTAACATCATTGGCCAAATGTTGAGATGCCAAAAACCTGGTTTGTCATGTTTGTTCTTCGTGCTTTGTGACCAATTGTAAACTTCCTGTGAGATCCTAAATGGAAAGGCAGCATAGAGAGATGTTCTGTAATCAAGCAGGGCTCCTTGGTCCTCTCCCGTTCACTGATCAGACCCAGGCTTGCTTACACTTGCTGTGTCCCATGCCTCAGATCAGACTCTGGTGCCACTGGACTACAGTAATGGTTTGTGTGTGTGAAATGTGGCCCTGCCCTTGAGGGTTTGATAGTCTTCATGGTAATGTTTTTCCTCTCCTGATGGGAGTTCCCCCTACTCCTTGAACCACTTTAGATGGTGGCTAAGTAGCATGAGCAAACCTGTTCGGTTCCTTTTCATTATGTCTGGAGAATGGACGTGCTTCGCATCTGGGTATCACTGGCATGCCACCTTCTCATGTCTCGGAGGGGGCCGTCTTCTGGACTCTTGGCACCCACACAATTCTGTCTGAAGGGATAATGTGGGCAACTCGAGGGGACTTGGGGTTCCTCTGAGGACCATAAGGTCTTCAGGCATCAGCTTGGGCATCATGTATAATTGGCCTCTTCCTCTTGTGTTTATCTTTCTGCTATGTGGTAGGTTCAGAGTCGCTATCCAGATTTAGTATATTGCAGCTATTGTCAGTTCTTGAGTGTGGTTGTCAGTGGTAGTAGACAGCTGCTGGAATCGTGGAAGTGTGTGTGCTTGTGCTGTCCGTCTGCTTTTAATGCTGCTCTTCTGGGATGGTGGCTTTCAGACCTCATCGGAACGGCACTGACTCGTCTGCCATGAGACTTGTGACTTGTGCACATGGCAGATTATTCTGGGCAATGATCTAGGGCAGCCGCTCAAGTGCAACGGGAGTATGCCCAGACCAGTGATTGCTCCGTATGCATATGCACATGCGTATCCCCAGATGTGGGAACCACAATGGCATATGTGAATGGCTGCTTCGTCCTCAGACAGCTGCATGAGCACGGTTGGTGCAGCGCATGTAGGCACTGCCTTTTTATACAGGAGCAGTGTGCGCGCCCTGGTGAGCCATCATGCACGTCAAGGCTCTGGACCTGGGAACACATGAAGGCCATGCCTACCCAGCCCATAAGGCCACTGTTGGGGGCACCTTGTCTCTGGAGTTAGCTCTGCAGGGCGACTGGCATTGTGATGTTTTCAGGGCTGGATGAAGACTCTTGTTTTCCTTTTTCTTTTCTCTCACGCATTTAAGAGCCATTTTCTCTGCTTCATCTTTTGGCTTTCTCTTATTTGTTGCAAGTTTTACATTGGGCTTAGGTGCTGTAGTGTTTTTGTTCTTTACTGCTAGTTTTATCTTGGCTTGATAAAGTTTGGCTTTTATTTGATGTTAGCATGCTATGTTTTTAATGTATGGTGCGCCACCCAGAAAACTTGGGCTGTTTGGAAGCTTTAAGTGCTGTCTGTCTGTCTGTCTGTCTGTCTATCTAAACACTGTCTCTGAACAAGTAGTAGTTGCAGCTAATGGCCATCAAGAAGACCTATCCCCATGAATTTAGATTGCTGTATTATTTTGATGGCTTAAACTGTGACAGTGAATTCCACTTTTATGAAGGTGCGTGATGCTGTTGTGTGACAAAGTACTTCTGTGGGAGACAAGGAAGGAAGGCCTCTGTGAAAGAGGCCATACGGCCTGTCAGTGTGTGCTGGGGACTGCCGGTGAGGGGAGCCTCTCCCATTTCCACTCCTTGCAAAAGCAAGACTAGGAAGAGCAATGAGATGCATTTCAAGGGTGATGTGGGACAACTGGGCTCTCATGGGAAGCGATCCCAGCTACAGAGATCTCCTGATGAGGTACATTGGTACAAAGATCCCTTTGTGCTCCTGTTCCCCCCTTATTCTTTGATATATTCTAAAGTGCTCACTGATTTGTACTTATTTATGACTTCATCCCACTCCTCCTCCAAGGAACTCTGGGTGGCTTGCATAGTCATCTCCTCCTTCCAGCAACCCTGGTAGGAAAGGTAGGAGAGAAGGTTCAGGTCACCCTGTGAGCTTTATGGTTGAGTGGGGTTTTGAACCCTGGATTCCTTGGTCCTACGAGTAGTCTGGGACTGCAGCCCAGGGGAGTTTCAGGTTTCTTTCAGCCTGGGGACTGAAGTTGAATTTGGAGAAACTTGGGGGTATCATTCCAGCAACAGACCATTGGTAGGGTGAAGCGGTGGGGCCACATAGCAGAATGCTTTAGCATAAAGCTCTTCTGAGGAGTCACTAAGCCTTAGAAGAAGAAGCATTTTGACCATTTATTTATTTATTTATTTTCTGTGTCGCCCAACGGCCAAAGTTCTCTGGGCAGTTTGCAGCAACACACTTAAAAACAATATAAAATATACAATTATCACATAGTAAAACTTCATTTAGGATGGGGTGCAAACTGCAAATGCCTGGAAGGGATTGGTGGTTGGGGCAGGGGATACGGCCAACCCGGGAAGGACAGATCGGTTCCCCAGAGGAGCCACTCCACGCACACTG